CCGAGATGGAGCCTGCACCTTCCTGCAAGGACTCAAACCAAAGAACAAGGAGCATCCACCTGCCTGAGGGGCCACGGGAGCAGGGGGACGAGCCACCGGGCTCAGGGGCTCGCCTGGCTTGTGGAGAGGTGAGGCCGGGTAGGCAGTGCGCTTGGAGCCGAGGGAACCCTGGAGGCCCCTCTCCAGGAGGCAGTGGGTCCTGGAAGGCTTCCCAGAGCAAGAGGCTTGAGGGGAGGTGGGTACCCAGCAGGTGGCTAAGAAGGGGGTGGAGGGAGCCCCCTGAGCAATGCACACAGTCCTGGGGTGGGAAAGAGCCTGACCCTTTCCGTGGCTGGGAGGCTGGGCAGCCCTCCTGCACCCTGAGGCTGGGCCCAGGGCGTGGCCTCAGAGGTCCACCCCAGGGCAGAACTAACTGGCTGCAAGCTCCGGCTGCCTGGGCCTGGAAGCGTCCAGTCACTTCCTCGGGCAGTTCTGTGGCCCCACCTTGCTGTGAGGAAGGGGGTCTGTGTTCCAGGCAAATAGAATGCTGTGGTGCACAGGGTCCCTCACCCACCCCAGCAGGGAGCTCAACTGCTGGAAACCCGTGCCAGCGTCCAGGCTTGGGAATGGTGTCATCCACTCACCTGGCAAGCTCACCGTGGGGCGGGGCGTGCTGAGCGCAAGGTGCTTGCCCAGCCCGCGTGAGGCCCGGGTGTGATCTCGGCACCACGAAGACAAGAAAGAACACAAGCAAGGTCCCTCTCGGCCGGACTGCGGAGGAGAGGGAGAGGAGACCAGATCCTCAGTGTCCATGAGGGCGATGGGCAGAGGCCCTGGGGGAGAACCAGGAGGCCAGGTGAATGCAGAGGTGGCATCAGGGTGGTCGGCAGGAGCACCCGAGTGACGGGACCTGGGCAGGAGGATGTCTGGGGCGGGGCACACTCTGGTCTGTGCAGCAGTGGCTGGAGGCCCAGGTCATGGGGGCAGAAGGCAGCAGGCTGGACACAGGGCCTAGCGGAGTGAGGAGGCCTGGGGAAGAGGAAGGCACGGGGCGGGGCCAGCCCCTCCTCTGCAGTGGACGTGCCTAAGCAGACGGCCAGGTAGCAGCAGTGTGTGCAGATGCTCTGGCCACGGGCTGAGGGACAACAACCAGATGCATTTTAAGTGTTGCCTCTGGAGAGGGAAGAGTAAGGTACAAAGGACAGGGACGATGAGCTTCGTGACAAAGCGGTGCAGCGGCGGCTCCACGTGACAGTGTGCGTTCCACGGAGTGATGTGGGAGGCCACACTGGTGGAGGTGCCGCGGCTCCCTCCAGAAGCAGCCCAGGCGCAGGAGGGCCGCGCCCCCCACCACGGGCCGCCCGCCCCACCATGGGCCACCCGCCCCACCACGGGCCGCACCCCCCACCACGGACAGCGCCCCACCACAGGCGGCACCCCACCACGGCCGGGCCCCACCACAGGCAGCACCCCACCACGGCCGGGCCCCACCACAGCTCGGGCAGCGCTCATGCCCCTGCCACGCCTCTCCACCGACACTCCTCCTAACCTAGGTCCCAGGAGAATCCGGGAGGGCTTTCTAGGGGACACCATGCCTGGCCTCGGTCCTGAGACATCCAGGATCACACAGGAAGGCCTTTCAGAAGGAGGTGAGGACGGAGGCCTGGGACAGGAGAGCTGGGGTTAGCCATGGTCCCTCTGCAGCCTGAGAGATGACCAAAGTCACTGGAGGAGGGGGACAGACCTATCGGGCAGCTCCTGAAGCTGTCTGCTGAGGGTTTCTCCAGAGAAGGTCCATCCGCAGCAGAGTCCCGTGGCTCTCGGTCCTCGGCACCCACAGGAGGGACAGGCTGGCAATCCTCTGCATGTTACAAGTTCTCCACTGAATCTCTTTGTTTTTTAGTTGTAGTTGGACACATACCTTTATTTTACTTATTTATTTTTATGTGGTGCTGAGGATCCAACCTAGCGCCTCGCATGTGCTAGGCAAGCACTCTACCTCTGAGCCACAGCCCAGCCGCCCCCCGAATCTTATTCACCTGAAATTTGAGAAACGCTGGTTGAGCCAGAGGATAGTCCTAAATAAGGCAGGACTGTGTAAAAGGGAAGGAGGAACGGCCGTCAGACCCAGGGCCCCCAACTGCCTGGGCCAACAAGCCGGGTCAAGGGGCCGTGCAGGTGGTGGGGACAGCAGAGCCGTACAGCTCCTGCCACCTTCCTGTCTTTCCTGCCTTGGTAAAAGGCTCCCACGTCACCAGATACGGCGGAAAGTCCCGATTCAAGCTCCAACGTGGGATTGGAAGAAGTCAGTTCCACGCTCGGGTCCCAGTTTCCCCAACTGTAAAACAAGGTGGTTGGACTAGATCACCCCAGAGCCACCTGTAAATCTAACCTGCTGAAAACAGCAGCCGGCGATATCCAGAACACGTGAGGAACTCCTGCAAATCAAGAAGAAAAACACAGAAGCCAGGTAGAAAAACGGGCCTAAGAATATGAACGGCGGTTTGTGGAAGGAGCCCCCAGACTGGCAAGCCCTCCCGGAGACTCTCGATTTCTTAGTGATCAGAGAAATACGAACCACAACAAGAGGTGCCCACTCAGTCCTGGACAGTCAGCAACAGGGGACCTGGGTGACGGTGGTGCGCTGGGCTGCAGGAAGCCCGAGTGGCTGAAGGACCAGGCGGACACAGCAGCTGGAGAGAGCTCTGGCTTCCTAAGTCGCATTGGGGCCCTGTGGCCCAGCCAGTGCGCTCCACCCTGGGTGCCGTCCCCACAGAAATGAGCACATGAGTCCCAGCAGAGCACACCTGGGGACGTCCCCGGCAACAGGAC